ACTTTGGCCAATTTCAACCAATCCATCGCTCCTCGGCGAGAGATGATGTATAAAACTGCTCGGTTAAATACAGGCTCTTATCTGTCGCTATGACCCATGACTTGGGTTTATCTCCATTATGCAGTGGTTCTTTTCAAAAGCCTCACCTCTGTTGGAGGTTATTGGTATGGAAGACACAGACAGGAATTGTGGTTGCATATGGGAACCGGCTCAATCCAACCGAGGTTTGCCTTCCTTCCTAATGCCCCGATCCCTTCTGCAGTCTATCTGTAGCCCAAGTGTAGTCCACTCACTCAGGTGTGACAGCATCACGGCTGACCGGCTCCCAGGTCAGCATTCTCACCATTAATCTACACAGATAGGGCAAATGCTGACCACCTGAAAATAATTGCTTGCAGTTGGCTCTTAAAAAAAAAGACCCTCTAATGTATGAACCGGTGTCTGGATTTAAATGAAAAAGTTTTTTTTTCACTTGTTATTTGCTCAATTCTGCTAAACCATAAGATACTCAAGGATGTATGTCACTGATAAGATAAGGCCTGTTATGGTTAGCGCATTATCTGTTACAATGCTCAAGCTTTAGCACAAATGTTGAATGTTTATTTTTCTCCCAATCCGATCCAGATGCCAAAGAATCTTACCGTACCGAGTGCACAAATATGCAGGATTCATAAATTAAGAAGTACTATCTTTGAAGCAGTTTCCTATTTACTCCTTTCCATTGGATTTGGCACCATATCCTGAGAGAACAAAGGAGGTGAGATGCTGCAGCTCAGCGGTGTCACGAGCTCTATCAAATACACTTAACTCCATCTGCAGGAGAGCAGACAATGGAGATGCACCGAAGATAAAGCCATGACACGATAGTGGTGCTTGACTTTATAATACACAAACACCGTAAATAAAACAGAACGTAGTATTGCTTTAAAAAGAAAGCAAACAAATTCACCTTATGCCTCTTCCTTTTGACATAATTTACATTGCTGTAGTTATACCGATAACTGGATATGTCAGATACTGAAGAAGAGCCAACCCTGTTTAGAAACACAAACATCTTGTGGGAGGTATAATGCTCCAAGTTTGGCTACATTGCAAATGTGTTACATATCAATGAGACGTTGGACTAAAATGGAAATGTTTCACCACCAAACCCTTGCCACTAAACACAGGGTTAGACCTAATGTATAAGGCATTAGCCGATTCATTAATACTGTGTCTGCCAGGCACACAAAGGTCAGCAGCAACAAGTATACATCTCTAACTACCATACTTCCGTCTGTATGACATGGGCCCTAAGAACAGGCAGTCTGCCAAGTGCAGAGACTGAGCTCTGTTTAAGTTTGCTTCCTTGCTCTGGTGCTCTGGAGGGGGGATAAATGCCGGTTCACCCACAGGCTTTAGGGGGTCCTGTGGAGCCAAAAGTACACGGACAGCACAAGGGAATGAGAGAGAAGAGGAATATATTGTCCAAAGGAAAGAACAATGAATCTACCCCACATACACACTGTAGTTGTCCTATTGAGAAGGATTATGGGGTTTAGGTGCTACACTGGAGCTGTAGATGTGCGAGTCCACAGAGAGCCCCAAAGCTTGGTATCAACTTAACACTGACACACCACACCATGGTTTCAGAGATTACAGGGAGCTAGATGTGCCATTTTGGAAACAAAGTGCAGTGTAGCAGACTCTCCTTTTTCTCCTCATTTCTTTTTCCTCCCATCTGCTCTTGTCTCCTTCGCAGTCCCTTTTCTGTCAAGTGGCACAGAGGAGAAAGAGCCCAACGTCTGTGTCTGCTTACTGGGGCAAGTGAACATTTGAAATGACAGAGGGTGACGTTGGCTTGAGTGCTGGAGAAGATGCCTCAGAGCTAAGTGAAGGACCATTAGGGAGACGGTGATAAGATGCATGCATGTAGACAGGGCTACATAGTGTTCACCTTGAACAGTCTGGTGTCATCTGCTGAGGAGGGCTATCACACAGTGAGAGCACAGCATCAAACTCCAATCAAACTCCATTGCAGCTGACAGCAAAATCAAACTGATGCCTACACACACAGAAAGGTGCCGTGACCTCCACACCCCGTTATTATTCATGCACAGTGGCTAGCTATTACTTTGATGCCTTCTCACTTTGGCTGGCACTCCTGTATTGGTCAACTAAGCAAAAAGCTTTCAAGAGCGACAGTAACACTGATGAACTAAAGGTTTCTTGTCAAAGGAGACACTTTAGACTGAGACAAAGAGTGAGAGAGAGAGAGCTCACACAGATGGAAATGTAAACATCACGGCTCAGGCACACAGCTGGATAGTTAGCTGTCTTATGAAGTGAAATGGTCACTTTTAAATAAACTTATTTATTTTGGTTTTGCATGACGTAATCCAAGTTTAAAATAACAATGAAATTATACTCTTAGCTCTTTGTGACTTTTGAACCTGCACTATTTTAGGGCTGTAAAGTTCTAGATGACTGGTCGACTAATCCGGCTGTTAAGCCGTGACATAGCCGCGTTCTCTTTTTCCACTTCCGGGTCCAGCGGAGTTGTCGTTATAATGCCTCAGTGCTATGTCCCTTGCTGCTTAAACTGATCAGAGACAAAAGCAGCGACTAAACTATCATTCTACATATTTCCTCCCAACAACAAAGACAACAAAATGACTTTATCATTTCTGTATTGTATCCATAGACTGTATACAGTCTATGATTGTATCACAAACACACGGCATCACATCCATTCATTCATTGAATTCAAAGCTTTGCGCACCAAAGCATCGGGGTGTCTTTGGTTTATCGTTTTACATTTATTGTCCACTTGATGGCGCAATAGAGCAAATGAAGCACGATCATGAAGCTTCGGCCCAGGAGGTGAGTAATTGGATGAAAAGCTTCGATGCTTCATGAGGCTTCATCTCGCCATCACTAAAATTTACGTTAATAACTCTATCCGAGTTGAAAGCTTTAAGTCCCTTTTTAACTCTGAGTGGTTCCCTTCTGAAAAAGGAGGTTATTTTACAGAGATTCACGGGTTCCACCATTGTTGTTTTGAATGGAGAGGGAATGGAGGCTGATTCCCCATGGACCCGGAAGCCGCTCCGCTCACAAAATGACGTCACGCTTAACAGCTGGATGGGTTTGAGGGGTGTCCTGTCAAGTCCTGTCCTGTCCCGATACAATATTGATATTGGTCTGATATCAACAAAAATTCGGATATCGGATTATATCGGCCTGCATAATCTCCGATATCAGCACTCCAATACAGGCATTTCTTTCCAGACCCTGCTTCAGCGCCTTCTAACAAAGTACCAAGCAGTAGTAGTGATGTTGGCCTTGTGGCAGTATTTTTCATTTAAGTCCATAAAAGACGTTGTAGCTGAGTGCAAAACTTATCATACACAAGTTTGTGCTAATATCGGATCAATATCGGTATCAGCCGCTACTAAAGGCTACAATATCGGTACCGTATCGGAGGTCAAAAAGTTGTATCGGGACACCCCTAGTTTAATTTCCTTCTTGTTTAATTGCCAACATTTCAAATACTTGTTCCTTTCTCAGAAATGTACCTGTGCATCTGTAAAGGGAAGAGGAAGCAGACTGCACATGGTCTAAGTTTGTCCCTCATGGGTCAAACAGACACACACATGCATACACACGCACACAGACACTTTCTCCCTCCCTCTCTCCCTCCATCTGATCTCTTCCTTCTCGCAGTGTTTGCAGAGTTGGAAAGTTCTTAAATAATTTATGCTGTTAATAACCAGCTCTGTCTCTGTGGTGCAGAGCAGTCCTGTTCAAACATTGCTATGCATGTGTGTCCCTGCACACAGCCTAGTGAAAATGGGACAGTGTTTGAACAGTGAGGTAAAGGTGTATGTATGAATGTGTATGTGATTGCAGTGTGAGTTATCACAGACTTGGCAGAATTGACTGAGGCGATAGTTGGGTTGGGTTATTGGGTGGGCTTCTGTGTCAACAGCAAAGAAACCTCAGATTTCTCTCCACAGTGTAATGGCTGAAGGTCACACACTGAACAGTTATATATATATATATATATATATATATATATATATATATATATATATATATATATATATATATATATATATATATATATATATATCCCTTTGCCTTGTTACACTGAGACATTCAAATACTACTGAATGACAAATAATCATGGGTATAGTTATTCTTTCTTTATATATCTCGAACTCTGAAAACAACACACACTAAAAAGAACAACTAAAAACAAAAACACCGGGCAAAATAATACACATGTACACCAAGCAACTGTACATGTCAAGGATAAATTTACACCAACATATGTACGTCAAAAACAAACAGTTTGAGAAGAAACAGAATGAAGCAAAGAGGTTATCTAGTCCTGCCCCTTCCTTGCAAATCAGAGCCAATAATGTATGAAAAACAGAAAATCTAATTGTATAAATGACAAAGATTTGTATAAATATCTACATATTATACACAAATAATTAATATAACTTCAATACAATCAAGTAAATTTAGTTTTTTGTTAGTTTACTTATATGAATCTTTTAATACTTACACTCATTCATCGGCATAACCACACTTACGCTCATATACACATGTAAGGATAATATCTATTTAAAAACATACGATTTATCAGAAAAAAGTAAATATAAAAACAAAATTAAAATGTATGAGGCAGTAAACCCTGAATTGAAAACCAGCCTCTACGACTCAAGTTCTTATAAGAAAGTTATTTCATGATTGTTTATAAACTATTATCCACCTGCACAGTGTGTCTTTATTTTCTCTTTGTCACTTTGTTACAGTGAGCCAGCCCGTCCGCCTGTGAGCTTACCATTTTTTCAGCCGGACTATCTGCCTGTCTCTCAAAGATGGGAGGTGCAAACAGGAGGCGGAGCCTACTCTGAGCGAGGATGACCTTGGCAGAAGTCTGATGATTTGAGGCAAGCGGCAGTATCAATAATAATAGAGAAATTAATAAGCTGGTGCATTGGCCTGAGGGTTAGACTGTAGGGGGTGGAGGTGGTGGGGATATCGTGGTGGACTGTAATCAGTGGGTTGGGAGGGGGCATGGCTGGAGAATGGCAGGAAGGAGAGAAGGGTGAAAGGGTGGGGCGGGGGGACTTGGGTTAGGGTGGTGTTGAAGGAGGGGAGGGGGGGTAAGTGCATGATTTCCTTAGCAGCAGTGTGGTGCTGCAGTCCATGCTGTCACACGTCAAAGAGGGAGCAAATCAAAGGCAGCTCTTTTGATGAATATAAAACAGAGAGTCCTGCTGAGAAGCACTCTCTCTCTCCCTCCCTTTCTAATCACAGAGCTGCAGAGGCAGCAGGCTTCACCCCCCTCCTGCACACACACACACCCCTCCCAGCCCAGCCCAACACAAAATGAAAGGAGAGCAGAAACAAGGAGACAGGGACAGAGAGCACACACGATCACAACAAAGGCTGCTTTATAATAGCAATAAACATTTGTCCTCCCAGGACATCTGCAGAGAATGATGGGCGCAGTGTGGCGAGATGCGAGCGAAGATGGAATGGCACACCCCCCACCCATCACTGACAAAGATTCACCACCTATCTCTATAATATGGTGCATGCATTTCTCTGCAAACAAGAGGCAGTCCAGTACACTAAAAAAGCGTTGAAGCTTGAAAATGACAAATATTTCCCTATAGATGCTCAAAAACACCATCACTCTGTCGGCATAAATTACAGGTCAGAAGTCATTACAGCCCCTGCCTAATTCTTAAAAATCCATTTTCTCCTCTCTCACTGATCTCTTCATGTTTGTCTTACACGCTGTTCATTTCACTTTTGACTATTTCTATATTATTAAAAGAAAACCAATATATTTATAGTGGTTAGGTCGCCTCTGTCCAAAAGTTCTTGTAAAACTACTGGTCTATGCACTCTTCATGCCAGCTATGTTTGCCATTTTTCCAAGGACAACAGAATTAACTTTTTACAACATCCACAACACACACATGGATGAGTCAAAATCCTAAGTGTAGTGTTATAGTTGAGTCTAGTCTGAATAGCCTCCAAACTCTAAGAAATCATCACCACTGTATACAACCAGAGTTCAGTTTCTGTTGCACTGCCTGGTCTCTCCTCCCTTGGGCTTTGCTCCTCTACCGCTCTCAAGCCAACATTTGTGTGTGACACCAAAGCCCACTCCCACCCAAGCCTTGAGCCCAGAAAGTGACACATGCATGGGTGTCGCTGCCGTTTCACCTCCTGCCTGCTGAAGTATGAGGCAATTTCCTGCGAGTGGTGCATGGTGAGAGAGAGAGCGGGAGACGAGACGCAGCCCGGCTCTGCTGCTCTCTTTGATACTGTCAGGGAAGAGTAATGGCTCTCTGCAACAACAGCCACCACAAAACTAATGTGGCGTGACTTTGGTTCTCCTTTTCGATGCGTTACCACCATAGTGAGTAAGGAGAGGATGGGGAGAAGACAGCCAAACTGTGAGGAATGAGAGAGGAAAGACAGACTTCTTCACTGTCAACTCAATAAACAAAACCATGACGACAATGCTTTTGTAATTAGACTGCATTTGAGCACATGCCAAACACTTGCAGACAGGATGCTGCTCATAGTGTAAGAACAGCCTGTAAATGAGGAGCCAGCACTGCTAGCCAGGTCAGCTTAAACTAATCGCGACTATGATTTCAAGGTCACATTGCTTTAGTGCTTCAATGCAGCTTATCACTTCAAGGACCTCATCTAATTGGGCGCTCGGCGATGTCAGCTGCTATGACCGCCTTGTTCATTGTGCCTGACCTTCCAAAACTTAATAGACGATAAAAAGTTGATTCATCAATTTGCACATCTTTTGCTCAATTTCCACATTAGACCAATAAAACTAGCAAAGAAAGCTGGTCTATTCACAGACAGGCATACCTCTCCGGTTGAACTCTTGCCCCTCTTTCAGTCACAGGCTCAGTTGTAATCAAACCCATCCAGAATTATACTATTATGCAGAATCAGAAGCTGATTCAAATAGGACAATATTACAGTTTATTAGAGCTAATTGAATGTCAAGGTCTTTGGGCGAACTGCCGGATGTGTTGAGATGTCAAAAGACAGCAAGTCTTTTGTGAAACCTGAGGTTATCAGTTGTCATAAAGGGGCAGACGTCTATTCTTCAACATTGAGTCTAGCATGAGCATCATTAGAAACCCTTTAACAGACAGCCTTTCAAAAATGCAAGCTCTCAGCTAAAGCCATTACATCTATGGCCAGTAATAAAAGAACAGTGTTACTTGTGTTTTAAAGTGTGGAGGAGGTAGTGATCAAGTAACTAGAGCACACATACTGATCATCAAAACACTGAGGTGCTTAAATGGTTAGTTTCCGCTGTTTTATTTCACCTGCTTCGCCAGGAAATGAGGTTTCAGTCAGCAAACACCAGAAACTATCCAAAAGCAATAATAACAATCTGAGCATACATTACCTGTTTGTCAGGAAATATGCAATGAATATAAAAAACTCTATTTAAGAAAATAATTTGTCATTGTGCCACATTTAGAGTAGCAGAGGCTGTCATAACCATTTACAAGATGAAATTATATAAACAAACAAAAAATGATGTTTATTCAAAAGATATGGTCCAGGATCTCTCTCTACTTCAGCTTTAAAGCGCCCTTATTCTCAGCCTCTATTCATCTGATTTTAAAAGAAGGCTGTGCTACACTATACATTTCCTTTGCCCAAAAGTATAACTGTGAACCTGACCTTAGGAGTTTAAGAGTGAAAAGCTGTTTCCATTGCATAAAAACCTTTGAGCTATTTACAGAGTCAACTCAGTAGTACATTTACAGGGTTGCCTTTTGTATAAAAAGCTGAAATTCTTTCATTTTCACAACCTCTTTTTTCACTGACTTCATGACTATAAGACTGTGTGGCACTGAAAACTCTGAGGTTTTTGTCATGGAGAGCATGTTATTATCTGATAGGCATTTTGTTATTTACCTCGTTTTATTTATTTATTTTTAAAGATGAATTTAAAAGAAAAATGCACGACAGTAACCATGGGGAAACAACAACAGCCAGGGCTCTTTCAGAGAAATAATTTAAAATGGATATTAGGGTTCTGAATCTCTCCCTAACCAGACACCTATTTAATCACTAATGGCTACACTTTGGCACTTAATACAGATATTTTGACATCTCTGCACATCTACATTCAAAGACTTAATAAAGCCCTTCCATCTCTTCAGACTCAGGGTTTTTTTAATTGTTAAAGTAATAAAGATTTAAGCCAATTAAACAAAAATAGACTGAAAATAGGGCTGACTGTGTCACACTGAAGAAGCAATGCTGTTGTTAAATTGTAAAGATGAAACCAATTCAAGACACTGTTTCTTTCTCCTCTCATAATCTCTGTGACCGTCTCTTCTGTATAGTGGTGAAAAGTTTCTGTTAAGCTTGGTTGAAAGCTGTCTTTTCACCAACTGATTAATGGCATAAACCACAAAGCCATCATTCTTCATCAGCACTTCACAGTAAGGTCAAATAAGTCTGCTGACTGTGAATGTCTTTATACACTCACCGGCCACTTTATTAGGTACACCTGTCCAACTGCTCGTTAACACTTAATTTCTAATCAGCCAATCACATGGCGGCAACTTAGTGCATTTAGGCATGTAGACATGGTCAAGACAATCTCCTGCAGTTCAAACCGAGCATCAGTATGGGGAAGAAAGGTGATTTGAGTGACTTTGAACGTGGCATGGTTGTTGGTGCCAGAAGGGCTGGTCTGAGTATTTCAGAAACTGCTGATCTACTGGGATTTTCACGCACAACCATCTCTAGGGTTTACAGAGAATGGTCCGAAAAAGAAAAAATATCCAGTGAGCGGCAGTTCTGTGGGCGGAAATGCCTTGTTGATGCCAGAGGTCAGAGGAGAATGGCCAGACTGGTTCAAGCTGATAGAAAGGCAACAGTGACTCAAATAACCACCCGTTACAACCAAGGTAGGCAGAAGAGCATCTCTGAACGCACAGTACGTCGAACTTTGAGGCAGATGAGCTACAGCAGCAGAAGACCACACCGGGTGCCACTCCTTTCAGCTAAGAACAGGAAACTGAGGCTACAATTTGCACAAGCCCATTGAAATTGGACAATAGAAGATTGGAAAAACGTTGCCTGGTCTGATGAGTCTCGATTTCTGCTGCGACATTCGGATGGTAGGGTCAGAATTTGGCGTCAACAACATGAAAGCATGGATCCATCCTGCCTTGTATCAACGGTTCAGGCTGGTGGTGGTGGTGTCATGGTGTGGGGAATATTTTCTTGGCACTCTTTGGGCCCCTTGGTACCAATTGAGCATCGTTGCAACGCCACAGCCTACCTGAGTATTGTTGCTGACCATGTCCATCCCTTTATGACCACAATGTACCCAACTTCTGATGGCTACTTTCAGCAGAATAATGCGCCATGTCATAAAGCTGGAATCATCTCAGACTGGTTTCTTGAACATGACAATGAGTTCACTGTACTCAAATGGCCTCCACAGTCACCAGATCTCAATCCAATAGAGTATCTTTGGGATGTGGTGGAACGGAAGATTCGCATCATGGATGTGCAGCCGACAAATCTGCGGCAACTGTGTGATGCCATCATGTCAATATGGACCAAGCGCTCTGAGGAATGCTTCCAGCACCTTGTTGAATCTATGCCACGAAGAATTGAGGCAGTTCTGAAGGCAAAAGGGGGTCCAACCCGTTACTAGCATGGTGTACCTAATAAAGTGGCCGGTGAGTGTATATACACCAGACTCTACAATGTTGTGGCAAGAAAAAGTATTTAATATATGGGCTTGAATAAAGTATTTTCCTTTCTAAATTATTCTTGCAGCAGATGTACATAATCTCTTTCCTATAGATCGTACAGACAATCAGACTTACAGAAAACTTTCCATCCTTTATATTAAGTCCATGTGACTTGATCTCAAGGGGAACAGAGTTTAAATCGGCAACTAGGGATGGGCGATATAGGCTGAAAAAATTTGATCATAATAAGTTTTGCCATTCTGCCAATAACAATAAAAGTCCCGATTAAAAATATTATAATTCCAATCTATGTTTTTGACTCATTCTGTCTTAAAGGACACCAGCTGGCATAGTCAAATAAGATACTTAACCACAAGTTTAAGTAGTAGGTTATAGAGAAAACTAGTGAAACACTTTCAACATTTGTCGAAAACTCTTATTACACAGAGTGAGCAGATACACTGTCTGATGTCAGACAAACGTGATTGCACTCGTCTCAATCCCAACCTTAAAGGAAATCCCAAATGTAGAGCGTCGTCCAGTAATGAGCTGCTCAGAGACGTCTTCTTCACCACCTTCAGCCATGTTTGTTTGTTATTCTGATCCGTCTGGACGGCTGCAAGTCCCTTGCTTGCGCTTATGTCATCAACTTGCATTTATCACGTTTATCGTGGGATGGCAAATATTTATCACAGAGGAATTTTCTGACGATAAATCGTGAACGATGATTCATCGCCTATCCCTATCGGCAGCTAACACTACCTGACCAGCCACCTATGCTAACAACATTCTTGTGAATTGAAAAAGGTCGATGTCATGGTCTCACAAGATTGAAGATGCTGGACACAGTCTGCGGAAATAGCAGAAAAACCTTCAGTCAACTGGATCAAATCTTTGAAATCAGTTCACATGACATTTTTTATCAATCTATGGTGCTGCAGAATAGTGTGCTTAACTCTTCAACATTAAGATTAGTGACCGATGCAGATCTGTACATCTCAACTCCTCAAAAAGATGTGATGATTTTGTCATGAGTTGTCTGTAACTGTATGTTACACACATCTCAACAAACTGTAAGAGATGTAAAGTTAACAACATGATGAATTTTGCTTGTAATTTCGTAAAGTTGTGTAAGTTGTGCATGTTCAATCATCAGGTTAGTTAAGGCAGTTATACTGTATGTTTGCGTTTGATGTAAAAATCTGAGACCACTTGTCCTCGCAAATGTGTCCTGAATATATGAGCAAACTGAAATGATTTAAATCAGTCTGAAGATCGAGAAAAGATTCAGAGAGAGAGGCAGAGAAAATAAAAAGAGAGTGCAGGAGTGAGGTGGATGAGGGGAGTGTAAAGAGGCAGGGGTTGTCTAGAGTCTGTGGCCTGGGGCAGTGCACGGAGAGGGATGAGCTGGTGTGCACACCGCAGGTTATCGTCTGAGAATGGTGGGGCTCCTCTAACAACTACTGAGGCAAGGTTTGTAGCACAGTGGGTCACAACCTGCGAGTGTCTGGCATGTTTATGTGTGTGTCTGAAAGATGCGATGCCAGACAGTACATGAAGAAAGTGAACAAAGGGACATATAAAAGAAAGAATAAATAAACTTGAGGTTTTGAATAAAACATCGGCAAACACACCTTTGCCAGTGCTGTGTGGCTGAGTCCCTGAGATCTCCTCACTGTGAACTACAGGGCAAATATCCTCAACCGAAGGTAGTCTTCTAAGTATCTTCAAACAGGCTCCTGAACACATGACACTGTTCCCGTTATGAATCCAGTCACCATGTCTGCCCTGTGCATAGGCATCCCACCCACACTTTTTATTTGTTCATCGTTGACTCAAAAGCACTGTGACCTGGCCACATGTGTACCTGTGCTTCTCTTTATTTCCAGATTCTCTAAGAAGAGCGAGGTGAAGCTCTACTTCCACTGTATAATATCCAAAGTTTGTGTTTCTGAGGTGACTGCGACACTTTAATGCTAGCCAAAGCAGCTGCAGTGCACTGCTTGAACCGAGTTCCTCTTGTTCTTCCTAAACCTGGGCATTAATAAGCCCCTTTGATCTCTCTCCACTTTGACAAAGCAGCACCACCAGGCTCGCTAAATGAACTACTCAGAACTCAAGCAGCGGGTAACAACATCAAGTAGAGCCGGGAAGAGAATATGCAGATCTGCTAGGATCCTAACAAAAGAGGAGAAGATGAGTCCTCGGCATAATTAACGACAATAAGCTGGAGGCAGATGTGTGACTCTGAAACATAAAAGAAAAGATTACTTCAGTATTTTTCTCAAATTGCTCTGAAAATTAGGAGTTTACTCATTTGAAGCTGAACATTTCATCTGTTAAAGGTTATTTGTTATCTCCAGGCACCCAGAAAGTACTTCATTTGTCTTGATCTCTCCGGGTTTCAGTGCCAATCATTAGCATGCTAATCACAGGTGGTTTAAAAATCTATGATGGAAAAAAAAGACACTCGCAGAGAAAGTACTTGTCACTGCAGGGTCCTGAAAGACCCCTCTCTTTAGCAGTGAGAAAGAATAAGCTTTTTGAACTTTGGTACAATATAAAGCCCCTTAAAGATGAGCAGGTGCTCTTTGGATTCACACAGGAAAAGCAGGACCAAAAGCTTGTTGAAAGATGCTACAATCCCTCAACGGCATCTGGTGATAAGACCTGGAAGAACAGACATGTACGTAAATACAGACTTCTTTTTCAACACAAATAAACATGTGTCTTTCCAACTCGGACCAACTCAGCAGAAAAGCTGACAACTAAAATTCAAAATATATCTATTAACTGTTTGGGAAGACCTAAACCAACAACTCAATTAAATCAAATATTAACTAATTGAAAAAGAAACAATTTATTGAGTTAAAATACATACGAGAGGCGATTCAGTTCTAAGAGAGAAAGCAAATTATTTATTTTACCCTTTGTGCACTTGTGCACAGCCTACATGCAACCACTCTCCTCCAGTAGCCTCTTGTTTGTGGGGGAGCCCTAACAAGCCGATTACAAGTGTAGCGGAGTTTCACAGCTCAAGGAAGAACATTTATGATTATTATTTAATGGAAATGCAATCAGAGTTCTTGTGTATCTTGTATCTTGTATCGGTAGTTCTTCTGCCTTAGCATTTTGGTCTGATTGCATTTCCATGAAGTAATAATCAAAAATTTTCTGCTGCACTCAGTGATCGACTCATCAGAGCTCCTCCACAAACAAGTGGCTGCTGGAAGAGAGTAGGTGAGAGTTGTGATAAGTCTATTTGCTAAAGAAACCAGGCAAAGCTAAAAAGATGTTTGATGGCTAGTGCTACGGCTGGGACCCTTTATGTACTGTTGATGAAGTTAGGTGCTGTTCTGAGCGTTATTTGTGGTTACAGAGTGGCTTTTTGGTTGAGGTTTGCGTGTGGAGATGCAAACTGCTGTGTATTGCTAGCTTGCGGTCGTTACTTAAGTTGGTATAACTAGAGAAGCAAGTAGTCGGCAACATTCATCTCTCAAGGGGGCGTCTAACTTGGTGTTATGGTGACCATAACTTAAATTTACACCGGAATATCCCTTTACGGTTGCAGTAGAGAGGGGAATGCTTTAAACGTAGCTACTGTTTCAAACCCCATTGGAATTGCAGCAGTCATACTGACGATTTTCAATCTCTAGTTTAAATCAATCAAATGTAGTTTTTATACAAAGTATTACAAGTGATGTACTCTATGTGTGGATTACAAAACCAAAACAGTGAGCACAAAGCAGCATAAAACAGCTAAACTCCACAGAGTTAATTCGGCTGGTGTTGCATCTTGCTTTTATGATCTTAAATTGATATAGTTTTTGTTCAGTTCCCTTGAACTGAGTCCCCCTTTGCTTACAAATTTAAAACCTCTCAAATATTATCAGCATCTCAATTAGATCTCCTTCAAAATAGATCATCAAGACTAAATGCCAGAGGTCACTCTCCTCATTTAGCCAGAAATCAAAATGATAATGACCTCTTATTAGAAATTCTATCTGGAATCGTTAGAGGAAACATCAAAAGGTGCTAACAGGGTGACCGGGGGCAATACTGGAGCTCAGTGATAATCCACATCAAAGAAGAGGCCGAGGGTGTGGGGACAGCCATCAGGGAGCTGGGGCTGTAACACATGTGCAGCAAAAATAAATACAGGGAGACGGAAATTCTCAATCTGCAATTGGGATAATTGAATGCCCTGAAATTGAAATGTATTATTGGGAACCATTCCCAAAAAGGAAAAGGCACTCTTTTGGGGGATGATGAGACCCAATGAAGGCAAGCCAGAGCAGATGGGATGATGTGGTTCGGTAAATTATAAATGATAGCTCCACAGTAAAATGACATAAAGGAAATAATAAAATAAAACATCTAGTGGAGCCATGATGAATGTACGCTGGAAATGTGCACTTCAGTAAACAATCAGCCGATGGCAATTATATGAAATTGGACCGGCTATGGAGCATTTCTATTCTGGTACTGCCACAGTCAACCTTTTAATGATGAGCTGTTAGGTAATAGCCATCTGTCTGTAGGCTACCAGTTTGAGTTCCCAGCTCATCCTTTTCACAGACCTATTACAGAGTGGCAGCATTGGTTCACAGTCACAAGACAGTGTGCTTTTTTTAAAAGGGAGTTTAATATACCCATCACTATCAGTCTGATGAGACACTCACGGCGAGACTTGAGCCTAGATTTCGAACGAGACAAAGATTTTAACACCTTTTTGAGAAAAGTTCAAATATATAAAATGTCACTACATTTGACCCAGTGCAGTAAAAGGCACAAAAAGTACTGTCAAAGTGTCACCGGTTAGTTAAAGGGATATTCTGGCGTAAATTTAAGTTATGGTCAAACGCACTTTAACACCGAGTCTTTAGCAAAGAGAGTAAACACAACTCACCCACTCTCCTCCAGCAGCCTCTGGTTTGTGGTGGAGCCCTGACCAGTAGATTACACCTGCACTTAACTCCATTCCTGATGATTGACAGAGTTCACAGTGTCTGTACAGCAGAAGTGAAGGTCACTGGCAAATACCAAAACCTTTTGGTCTCTTTTCCCAAATTTCCTATCCTTGCAATGATAGCTTAGCCACATGATGGACCAATGTTTAGGCTGCTGACAGTCTTTCCTGACCAAGTCTATGTATACTTCCACTGTGCTCTTTCAATGTAAACCAAAGGATTAGGCAGCCAGACTGCTAACAACCCATTTTCTCACATCCAAAGGGGCATCAGATTTGCAGAAGACTGCACTTCATGATAACATGGCTCTCACTAACTTCTATTAATTAGAAAAAACAATTTATGGAGTGATGCATCATTACCCTTTGGCAACTGAGATTTAATTAATATGTAGATTTGGCATTATTAAACGAGCAGAAAAAGAACTGTGATAGGCAATATTTAAGTGTACACTCATCTTTAAGTTTCTTATTAATTTCTGATTAAAAATAAGATTAAAATCACTTTTCCTAACAACTTTTAACATATGAAATAATGTAATACCAAATCAAACCCTCACTTCACCAGCAGAGAATGGTGCCTACTGTTTCTTGACCGAGATCTGGGTTTGCATTAGAAATTATTTTGCCTGATATAGTTTACCTTTTTTATGAGTTCCTGGTATTGAGAAGTACTTTTGATAAATTATAAATTCTGGAAAAGAAAAGAAAGCCAGAAAATACAGACATCCTTCTATAATTTCTAGCCTGCGTACCTGCAAAAAGAGCAGCAAAGAAAAGGAGGAAGCAAAGGCCTCCATCTGGCGCACACACATAGCTTATTCCATATTCTCCCCTTTTGCCCTCTCAACCCAACCCTCCACCTACAAACCCTGCTCTTCAACACAGCTGGGGAATTTCAATCCTACTTCATATCCTCGAACAAATTCCTTCCCTGATTACTGATGCATTTCAAAGCAGGCATCATTATATTTTCAGACCACTTTCTTTTAAAAATGTACTGAAAACCTTTATGCTGGTTCCCAAGGGCCCCCTTCTCTTCTTCTGTTATGCTCTTATTAGTCCGTCTCTCACACTGCCTGCTGGGGGATCCACATTGCTATTCATTTTCTGTCTCTCTGACCTCTATGTGGATGGTATTCATCTGACCTATCTCTTGTTCTTTACATTACTTTGGAGACAAGCAGCTTCTGTCTGGTGCAGCTATTAAAACATAAACACCATTAAATAAAAATGTGCAGCAGAGAGGCATGTGAATAGAGCCAGAGTTACGCAGGGAGGGAGAAATACTCTTTCTACTGTACTGACAGTCTGGTGCAGCAGAAATTGGCTCCTTTCACAATTTATATGTCAAATGTTTGTGCATATTCAGACCATTCTGAATAACATGGATCTGTAAGTAATTTAATTTAAACTGGAATCAAATGCCAAATGTTTAACAGCTAAATTGTCATTATGTGAGTCTAAGTTGCAATCGGAGAAAAGTTAAGCTGTACAAAATTACACTGTATGCACTTAATTCCCCATCACCACATGGTTAATCAAAAGTTCTTTATAAATTCATTATAAAATCACTGAGTGTGAGGAGATGGTTGTCTGAGATGCCCCATCTATGGCAAGACCCACTGAAGTACATGAAACTACAACACATATAAGCGTTATTGTAATTTTCACATAACGGAATATTACAGTTAGCTCATTTGAGGGTATATTCCTGCGTAAATTAAAGATATGGTCAAACACACCGTAACACTGAGTTAGACACCCCCTCGAGAGATGAATGTTGCCGACTGCTTGCTTCTCTAGTTATACCAACTTCAGCAACGGCCACACCATAGCTATGCACAGCGGTCTACGTCTCCACGCGCAAACCTCGACCAAAACGCCACTCTATAGCCACAAATAATGCTCAGAACAGCACCTAACTTCATCAACAGTACATATAGGGTCCCAGCCATAGCACTAGCCACCAAACATCTTTTTAGCTTTGCCTGACTTCTTTAGCAAAGAGACTAAACACAGCTCACCCACTCTCTTCCAGCAGCCGCTTGTCTGTGGGGGGGAGCCCTGACGAGTCGATCACCAAGTGCAGTGGAGTTTCGCAGCTCAAGGAAGAACATTTGTGATTATTACTTCATGGAAATGCAATCAGACCGAGACGCCAAGACAGAAGATCTACCGGATCTGTAGTGCAAAATGATTAACATGATAATTATTACTTCATGGAAATGATCCGCTGAAGATGTTTGATGTCTAGTACTATGGCTTGGACCCTATATGTACTGTTGATGACGGTGCTGTTCTGAGCATTATTTGAAGCTATAGAGTGGCCTTTTGGTTGAGGTGTGCGCGTGGATACATAGACTACTGTGTATTGCTATCGTGCTGAAATTGGTATAACTAGAGAAGCAAGCAGTCAGCAACATTCATCTCTTGAGGGGGTGTCTTACTCAGTATTACGATGTGTTTGACCCTAATTTAATTCTTAATTAAAAGTTCTTTCAGGTCCAGTACAGTCCACTACCTCTATATACTTACTCTTTAGCTATTATCAATATTGACATGTCTGAGGATGTTTGATGAAAGATATATCAGTGGTTTCTTCAAAAGTCAGACCTCTGTGACTCAACTACAGTTAATAAGTTACTGTCTTAACCAAAAAAGGTGTTTAAAGCTGCACAGAAGGACTGCAGTTGGTTTGGACGACCTCGCATATACAATCCTTTCATGGCGAGTTTCAGCAAAAATAACTAAATAGGATATGGACACAAATTCACATTACTGCACATTAACCCTGTTTTATGTTAACATGCTTTAAAGAAAGTGTAAATTACTTTGTGGGCGAGTCTCATTGAAGGATTTACTGACAGAATAAATTGTTTGACTGAGGGGAAGGTGGACAGGAAAAAAAAGGAGGGGGTCTAACCAGTCTTAAGTGTAAACCCTGAGCTGGTCTGGCTAGAAAGCCCTGTAAAGAACTGTTGGAGTTGATGAGGTAGTCCAGCTGAATGATATACATCGCCGGCCACGGGCGAGAGCTGTCCATTAGTTACAGGGGTTCCTGTAATACCCAGCTCCAGTACATTATTTCCAAATGCATCAGTCAGCGTCGGGAGCACAGATAAATTCTAATGCTTAAGATCTGTAATGCATACTCTCACCGCTGCTATATTACGCTGCAGGTTCAGGAGGGCAGGAAGGGAGAGGGGGGAAAAATGTAATTTATTTTTCACTGCAGCCAGTATTCTTCCCATTAGCTTCAAACGTGAGATAAGTTATGGACTTTAACGAGCGCCTTTAGCCACCAGAGCACGCTGCACACAAGACTGCAGGCAGGAGAGGCGGGGTGAGGGCTAAGGGAGGAGGGACTAGCAATCCCGGAGTGTTTATCATTAGACTGTGATGACCCACAAGTGCCTCAGTTTCCTGACCAGGACCAGGAACCGACTAAAGCTTTAGCCGCATAAGCTTTCCAACATATTTTGGCCACTAGCTCTCCTTGGTAAACTATTAATAACTTTGTGGATATGGGATAAAAGCACAAAAGGATGCAACACTATATACCGCATTTTACACTACAATCAGAACAGCACAAAGTGGTTGGCTGCTTGGGGAAGTGATCCTTCACCTCTTCTATCCCACACTTACGTTTTTACCTTTGCCAATCAAATGTCACAAGTGGAAAATGCAAGTCTGTCTTGACCTTTTAAAAAGCTCTGGGATCACCATTTGTGTTTCTGAGAGCTGAAATATGCCAGAGCGAGAGTTTGAAGAGCACACAAGCACACACACTGAAGTCCTCCTACAGCCAGTGCTGATAGATTATGTAACTAAAGGTCATCTTTATCTTAATTTCTTGGATTTTGAGCCCTTATTCAGTAAATGGACAGCTAAAAATATATACCCTTAGTTCTCACAGTTGCTGCCAAGCCTCTACAGTAATATCACGAGTATTACACAAGCTGCTGTCTGTCATTTTCACTATGAGCAGAGCTGAGCTGATCTATTCCAGGAAATACACATGAGCGTCACATATTGACGAAAGAGTTATTAGCAGTGGGCCTGTTAGATTCTCCTTCAGCTGCAGTTGGAGGAGAATTAAAGATGTATAATCAATACCCAGTTTGATACCAAGCTATCAGGATCAATACAGTCTATCAAATCTAATCTAATCTAATCTAATCCAATTTATCATCGGTATTAGTTCAAATTATGGGACTAGTCATTCAATCATACACTCATTCATATTTTACTCATCATACATTGTTCGGTTAACTTGGTTGTCAACAGCAGATATTTTTTAGCCTCATTTTAGTCATTACCAATAGTAATAGAAGTACATCATTAACTTGCATCTTCCAATGCACGGAGAGGTTCAAAAACAACTAATTTAATGTTTTTCTTGTTAAGATCTTGTTAAGCATTTTATTGGTAGTGTTATTTACGTGTTGTTTCGCTCCTTCTTTGATCATTTGTACTTTACACATATCGTAAATGGTTATTTTGCTGACTGTTCCTGACACTTTAAAATACTTTCTTACTAACATGTTTAGGGTTGTTTTTGGTGCCTAAAAGCTGTCCTTGTGTGGAAATAATTAATTCTTCTACAAATCAGCTATTAATATTTACAGAAATGTTAATATCTGTGGATACAAATTGTTTACTTTTTTAGCTTTGATTAGATAAGCTAAGATACGATAAAATAAGCTAAGATAAGATAAGCTTAGATAAGATAGGCTAAAATACAGTACGATAAGATAAGCTACGATAAGATAAGATAAGATACGATAAGATAATATAAGCTTTGAAATGATAAAATAAGATACAGTAAGATAAGATAAGCTTAGATAAGATAAGCTAAGAAACGATAAGATAAGCCTTTATTCATCCCACGACGGGCAAATTTACAGTATTATCAGTAGCAAGGGATCAGCGTAGCAAACATAAAAGATTAAGTACACTCATCATGCACACGGTGCACGGATAACTAAAAAAAGTTAACTTAGACCTATAGTATACAAAAATATATATTCTGCTAATACAGCTATTGTGCCAATGACACTGAGCACCCCTCGTCTGACAGGATATTTAGAAAAATTAAATAAACTCTTACATTATCCACCAAAGTCATTCTGCATAGTTGCAGCCATTCTGTTTGCTTATTTATACCATCTGGAACCAACAAAGAAGAAGTCAACTGTCAAAAGTTATTAAAATTACCCCACCTCTGGCAACATTAATATTAACATTTATTTTGAAAATAATATATTTTTATGAAACGTATATCCTAAATTCAGGGTCAATGTTGCAGAGTTTTATGCATTTTTTCTCTGAGCTGTTAACTGGTGTCAGCACAACAGGCGAGGGCTATGTTGGCAGAGTATATGAAGGAATAAATTTGTATTTACGACTATTCCAACTCAACTCCAACTAGCTGGAAGCTAAATATGAAAAGACAGCAACTCTATCAACATGTGCCATGTTATCTCATCCAACATCATATCATGTGCCAGCTCTGTTTACCCCAGTCAAACTACTAAGCCTTTAATGCAGATGAATTATAAAATAACTACAAGCGTCTTAATTACCCCATCCACTTAGTCTGAATAATGCAGCATTCTGTTTGTAACCGTGTTAGTGCACTGTGCATGCAAAAGTTAACATAACTGCTTAACACAGCACTTGAGTGGTGTGTATTTCAGGATTAGGCTCATTAGAGATGTGTCTGCATGTGTGAGTAGACACATGCATATGCTCCCTCGACTTTGGCTTGTGGTGCATACTAAATGCAACCATTCAGGGAAACGACATGTGGCAGTGGACATGTTTACCCTCTGGCACTTGTGTCTGATTCATCAGGCATGAGAGGCCAGGGCACTTTGGAAGCATTAGCTGGTAAGTGTCAAGTGTCGAGCAGTGAGGCAAAAGACACACAATTTATATTCACATGAACAGACACGTCCACATACCTGCACAGCAATGACTGTTACCAGAGATGTAAAAAAATCTAATTGTGATGCCAAGACAGAGACAGACGTAAAACAATGATGGATACACAAAGGCCTTCACGTTGACAGAGCTATGACTTTCTGACTTGCTTGTTTGTGCACAAAATGCATCTGCTTAGTGTATGATCGGACTGTTTATAGGGACTAACCTCCAATGTCCACCGCATCCAGAACGGCTACAAAAAGGCTGTATTCACGGATCGCAGCTGATCGTAACCATTCAAGTTAATGTGTCGATTTCCACCGGCTTCTTTCCCTTTCCACTGCCAATCGCAGAACTCCGCAGCTGATCACAAGAGTTCCATTTATTCCATAAGCAGCAAACTTCATGGAAGGCCAAATCTAGATGTAAGAAAGTAAAAAAAGTAAATCACTTTAAACCAACTATCTTCTGGACAAAAAGAAAAAAAACAACTTTATGATCTGGCAGATTTGATGAGGTATCTTGATTTCTACTTTGATCTGAAGCATACACAGATCCTTTGGCTTAGCCACAAGCATACTTTCCCACATGCCGCGGACAAACCTTTCTCCTATCAACTTTAAGGCAATATTTCAACAGATCTGATTGGATCCGACTTCACTGTGTTTCGCAAGAAGAATTGTTGAACACATTTGTAGCTATCCAATCGTTCATATCCTTCCTAAAAAAAATCCTCCTGCTATAATCCATTGATCAAAGCTCAAAATCTTTTCATGACCAAGAGGAGAATTCACCAAATTAAGAAGTAGGTAACAGTAACTTACATACAAGGCTAGCTCTACTCTTCATATACTGAGAGTATTTATGGATAGACCCATTTGTGTCTCTGTGATTTCAGATGCTGTAACCCAGAATGCTAAAACCATCATGCTACTGAGACAAGATTGC